CTAGTTTACAACTATACAAACGATCCCTTAGGCGTCGTCTGTATCACTCACTTAATCCAACCACCCCGACCTCTCATAGCCCCACAACCAAGGAGAAGAGAGGGTGAGAAGCCCCCGATATTTCCATAGGTTGTTCAAGGCTATCGTGAATGCGAAGGGCCCTCGGCTCGACTCGCATTGGTGAATTCTCGACTTTGCTGGAAGTACCAAAGGACCCTTGGGGCCCAACAGCACAAAAGCCATTGAAAGTCCTTTTACACGAAATTAGGTCATACAAGACCCAACGACATGTAAGCGTGTTACCTTTGGGCCTAAAGATCATGTCATTGGATTAGCTAGGCCCAACAAGCACGATTTGAAACTTTCGGGCCCCAAGATGGTGTATCGACGTCTGGTGAATTCTCACGTGTGTATTGACTTCTGGTGAATTCCCGCGTGTGTATTGACGTTTCGCCGTGTATTAATTTTTGATTCGTTGTTGATTCGAGACCGAATCAATTCGTTTGATAACGATTTTGGTGTTGAAGGTGTATTATGTTTCGTCGGTAGTTGTGGTACTAGTATTTTATCATAACGGATTTATTGGTTACAACATTAGGATTTTCTTTTTGCAGCCCCTTTCTTTTGGATAATTTACAATTTTGACCCTTTGTATAAAAGAATTTCTATTTTAGTCCTTAAACCATTTTTCTTGACATTTTAGTATCAAAACTTGTTGAAAAGGTGTTTTTCAGCTCAAATTTATTTGAAAAATAGTTTTAGTCCCTCAAAATGAAGTTTTCTCGGCTGAACCCTCTATTTTCGCAAGTTTTACACTTTTGGCCCAAAATAGAAATTTTTTGCATCTTTGGTCCCTTTTAAATATGAAAAGTATTTTTAACCCTTTAAATGGACTTGGAGCACTAATAGTCCCCTGTTTTACAGAAAAGTACAGTTTCAGCCCCTCTAATTTGAAAATCTCACAAATTAGGCCTTATTGGGCCGAAATGTTCATTTTTGGCCCGTTATGCTTAAAATTTTACATTTTTGATCCTTCAAAAGAGTATATTTCCAGAAAATACATTGTTGAAACTGTTTTGACTCATTACAACCATCAAAATTCGTATCTTGTCATTTTGGGCCCTTTAATTTTATATTTTTCACATTTTGAGTCCAAAAATGGGTTTTTAGCCCAAAGATGTTCATATTAACCAACTTGGTTATTTTTCTAGAAATGATTTGTGTGTAATAATGCAAATTATATTAGTTTCATAAAACCTAATATAAATCTCGGTTTTAAGGACTTTTTGACTAGATCCAACACCACAATCACATAAGAGCATAAATATAAACATAGAAATCACACAAAGCATACATATACTCATAGATCTACACATTTGCTTGTATTCCCCCCCCCCTCCCCCATAAAACTTGTAAAACCGAAAAATAGGGAGTATGAAGCTCACCTTGAGTTGTAGTTTCGGTTTTGAAGAGAGAAAGGAAGAAAATTTCGATCCTAGCAAGTCTCCTTGGTAGATCTCGAGTTTAGTGACTTCTAAGGTGCATGATCACAAGTTGGAATAGATTTAGAAGAGATTTTTGATGAAATGAAGTAGCTAGATCATGGATTAGTCATCAACTTACCTTAGATGATGTGTTTGTGGGAAAAACCTCCTTGAAAAGCTCTTGATTCTCGAAATTTTTGAAGAAGGAGGGAGGAGATGTTCTTCAAGACTTAAAGAGAATGGAATGAATTTTTGTGAGTGTGTGTGTGTTGTGTTCGGCCGAGAGCAAGAGAGAGAGAAAGAAATAGACCTTGAGGTGATATGTGCATGGAAGTATGAGATAGGTTGCATGGAAAACCAACATGCAAAAATGAGGTGGTTATGAAAGTCAAATCTCCCTTTTTAGATGGGCTTGGGCCGAAATTTGAAGAGAAAAAAAAAGATTTTTGGGCTTTATTGCCACTAAGCCCATACTAGAGTTAAGTTGAAGGATTGTTTGCCCTATAAAATATAAGTGTGATTTTTATGCTTTATTAGGCTAGATTAGGTTAATTATGGTCCATAATAGTTCATAATATTTAATTCATTTCATTCTAGGCCCAATATGGCCCAAAATGTTGAAATAAATGAAAGTGGGTCCAATTAGAGACCATTTAAGGGTTCTAAGCCCAAGATAGTCAAATTGGAAGTTTATTGGTCCATTAGGCCCAATAAGGAAGTCCTAGTCCAAAATGGACCTAAACAAGAACTTATAGGGTTTCCAATTACTTGTTGACTATTTGAAATGCTTGTATGGTGTGCTTGATTGAAATTTTGTTGCCGTGAAGTAAGCATCTTACATGCTCTTAAGTTTTTGATTCAACATTTTACTTGAGTGTTGTGATTACAAGACACAAAATTTCTAGTTGTGACAGACTGGCAGCGGAGTGGTTTTGGGTCGGCATGAGGAAGGCGGTTCAAAAGTATGTGCAAGGGTGCATCACATGTCAGACACAAAAATCCTTAAATACCCAACCGGCTGGATTGCTCCAGCCTCTGCCAATTCCTGATCAGGTGTGGGATGAAGTTTCAATGGATTTCATTGAGGGATTGCCAAAATCAGAAGGGTACAATTCAATCATGGTGGTGGTAGACCGACTTAGTAAATACTCTCATTTCGTAGCGATCAAACACCCATTTACAGCGTCCACCATAGCGGCCATCTTCATCAAAGAGATTGTGAGGTTGCACGGGTTCCCAATTTCCATTGTGTCAGATAGGGACAAGATCTTCATGAGTTTGTTTTGGAAGGAGCTCTTCAAACTGCAAGGCACTCAGCTGCTCAGAACCCCTGCTTACCATCCGCAAACGGATGGTCAAACAGAAATCGTTAACAAATCAGTGGAGCTCTACCTTCGCTGTTTCATCCAGGGGAAACCAAAAATGTGGATCAAATAGTTGCCATGGGCTGAATTCTGCCACAACACCGCTTATCACACGGCGGGAAAGACCACCCCATTCAAGGCCTTGTACAGATGTGACCCTCCTCGAGTCATAAAGGTTCAGAAAGGAGATACATTAGTATCTGCTCTTGAGGATCAACTCCTAAAGCGTGATGTGATCTTGGAAGATCTCAAGGGACATTTACTTCAAGCCCAACAAAAGATGAAGGCTATGGCGGACAAGAACAGAAGGAATGTTGATTTTAAAGAAGGAGAATGGGTGTTCCTCAAGTTGCAGCCTTATAGATAGTAGTCCCTAACTAGCAGACCCTTCCAGAAGCTTGCAGCTAGATTCTATGGGCCTTTCCAGATTATACAAAAGGTGGGAAAGGTGGCCTACCAAATCCAATTGCCGGACACAGCGAAAATTCACCCTGTATTTCATGTGTCTCAGCTCAAAAAAGCAATTGGGAACCAGGTTGCAGATCCTACTCTTCCAGCTCAAATGACCGAGGACTTGAGGTTGGATTGGCATCCGGAATCAGTGCTAGGGGTACGTGTCCAAACCGAAGAGCAGGGTCAGAGAACTGAAGTCCTGATTAAGTGGAAGGAAGTCCCAGAAGTTGAATCCACGTGGGAAGACTTTGTCACTATGTCAGAATCCTTTCTAGAATTCAACCTTGAGGACAAGGTTGAACTTTGGGGGAGGAGTAATGTTGTGAAACCTCCACTCAAGTTCACGTACAAGAGAATGAAGAATAAAAAAAATGATACGCGCAAGAAGCACCACCAACCTAACATCAGGACTGCAGAGGTAGTGGGACGACAGGGGTAATTTGGGAAATTCAAGGCCAGTTGTCATTTTAGTCTATTTGATGGAAGGGACACCTGGGAGGAAGGCACCAGATTATTCTCATAGAAGTTTCTATTCCTGGGAGATTTGTAGCATCTCGAACAGCTACTACCCTTATCATTTGCTTTTATCATTGTTCTTATTGTATTGCTAATTTCGAAGATTAATACAAATAGTTGTTAATTTTTGGATCCTTCCCTGTTAATATCGTTCTACTATATTTGTTCTACAACACCCTATTGTATTTATAGTTATATATCTTTTATCGGTTGATATACTTAGTTCACTATAAACAATGTTCTGATACCAATCTGTCACACCCCAAAACTGGAATAATATTTCATCTCCAACCCTACTCTATTTTTTACCTCATTTTTACCCCTAAAAAGTATATTCCATTTTTCTAACTTATATAAATTGTCAAACGCACCCTTCTATTAATTTGGTTTTAACAAATATATAATATATATTTTTCATTACAATAATATTAAATAAATAAGATTATATTTATAATATGTAATAATACGCTTTTGTAAAATACGTTTCTTTGTTTTGAAATTTCAATATGTATTTAAATTTTAATATGAATTTATTAAAAAAAAACAAACTTTATATTTATAATTAATTAATATAATTTAATATATAACACAATATTATAAGTATTAAATATTACATTTAAATAATAATTAATAGGTAAAAAAATCAAAAATATATAAATATATAAAACGAACGAGTAAAAACCAACAATTCAAAGTTGATACCAAATATGATGTTATACCACTAATTTTCTCCAAAATGGTAGAATAAATAGAATATGATTGGAGATGAATGAAAAATAATAGAAAATAAGAAAAAGTTTGAGATGTACTGAACTACTCGGTTCTTGAAAACCATATATCACATATAGTTGGAATAGAAAACATAAAACGTACAAATGAACATTCTTCAAAAAGCTGTTTGTTTGACTATTTTTATTGTCATGGTATTACCATGTTCATTTAATCGACACTATTTATAGGATTTGAGTTCCACACGAAACTAACAAAACTTTATCATATTTTCAATTATAATGATTGAGATCCGGAGTGAATCTATGTCCCATTTTGTTCAAATGGGGGTAAATTAGGAATTTTTGACACAGAATCTATGTCCCATTTTGTTCAAATGGGGGTAAATTAGGAATTTTTGTCACATCAGCATCAAGCAATGTACAAACCAATCACATTACAATCCATTATGTGACGTCAAATTCAGGTAAAAGAACAAAACACCTCAAGTTATTAAATAAAATGCAACATGAAACAATAACAATGGCAAAAACGACTCGATTTATAAATTGCAAAACAAAGTACTCCAAATCGTTCTAGGTTTATAAACCAATATCAAGACAAAAAAAAAACAAGAGACTACTAACACAACCTACCAACCAAAATACATAATTAAAAAGAAAAAAAAAAGTAGTTAATACCGCAACACTACCGAAAAAAAAAAAAACACACAATCAAAATAAAACCCAAACAAGAGACTTCTTCAACTTCTTTTCTTTCTTTTTTCAAACTCAATTTTAAAAATTTTAAAAATATTAAAAACACTCACTTAGCCATCATAACCTTAACAAACTCCTCATAGTTAATCTGACCATCACCATCCACGTCAGCCTCACGGATCATTTCATCAACCTCTTCATCGGTCAACTTTTCACCAAGATTGGTCATGACGTGGCGGAGTTCAGCTGCGGAAATAAAACCATTTTGATCCTTATCGAAAACCCTAAAAGCTTCTTTGAGCTCCTCTTCGGAATCCGTGTCCTTCATTTTGCGGGCCATGAGATTGAGAAACTCCGGGAAGTCAATTGTCCCGTTACCGTCGGCATCAACTTCGTTGATCATGTCTTGGAGTTCCGCTTCGGTTGGGTTCTGTCCGAGTGATCTCATCACGGTCCCGAGTTCTTTGGTTGTGATACAACCTATACAAACAAAAAAAAAATTATACCGACGAGACTAACAATGATGTCAATTGTCTCATTCAAAAAGATGAGACAACATCTCATGTCAGTGTCCCATCTTTTTAAAAGATGGGACAGCATCTGACACAGTCAATGTCCTAAATTATGGATATTGACTAAAAATATGGGACATTGACAAACAAGTTCCCATCAAAAAAGATGGGATAAGTCAAGTAGACTTAAAAAGTTTGTCAATGTCCCGTCACATCTTCTCCATATCAATGTATGGTACATAGTACACTGTTATGAGAGAATGAGGTATATGGATATTTTGGATTACCATAAAATGAAAAAGGTATTGATGGTTTTAGTAACATAAACAAAAACAACAACCGGAAGTCCATATCCTACATTTTCGGGTGGGACAAAAAATTGACACTTGTTGCAATATCATTTCAATGAATGTCAAACACAGTATAATTTGATAATTTAGATTTCTAGAACCATTTTTGTGTATGGTCTAAATACAAATGGAATAAAGTACACATAATTTAATTTACTTCATGGCTAAACATGAGCATCATTCTAAAGGTCTCACCAACACACAACTAAAAATACTTACAAGACTTGGAATTCTAAACAAATAGTCGTGTGAGACAGGTTGTTAGTTTGTAACAAACTCGATCACCTAACTTAGAGAACATAAGCAATATATACACAAGGTTCACATCTTTTTACACTAAGATACTACACAGAACCAAAACCATAATAAGCAATTCGATTGAAACGATATCTTCTAGCACATGAAGTCCTAAAGCAATCATCTTTAAAAACGAAGCAGATCTAACAAGATACAGATACGAAAGCCTTTTCCTTTTGATTTCATACACGATAAACACTTAAATTCTAGAAAATCAGCCATCCTCGAAGATGGAAATTGGGGATAATTCAGGAAAGAATCCGGATTGATCGATGATTTTTCTCAAATCGAAATCGTCTCCAAGTCAGAAAATTGATCGAAAGACCAAAAAGTCAACCAACAAAGATATTTGAAAATCAACAATCAAAAACCAGATCTGGAAAGAGGGGATGACAAGATATATTATAACGATTCTTAAACTGATTGTCGTGCTGCAAGATATTCAATTATGAAAGTGGGTGAAAGAGAAAAGATGATTAATAGATTAGATAACAAAGGAAAGGAGAATTTAGATACTGACCATCTCCATCCTTATCGAATAGGCTGAACGCCTCCTTGAATTCGGAGATCTGATCATCGGTAAGCTGATCCGCCATTGTTGATGAATGAGCGAGAAGAAAGGGTTCGCAGAATTGAATGAAGAAAGAGAGGAGGATACAACTCAGCGACTATGGTGAGGGGAGGCGGGCTGTGGAATATATATAAAAGAGTGGTCCTCGACGCATCTGATGCTTCCTCCCTCCATCGTGCCACGTTTTTACCATATTGCCCTTCTCATTGTTTTAACTTTTTTTGTGATGTTACTCAAATGGTCCTCCTACTTTATAGCTTCTTTCACTATGTCCTACAACATTTATTTAGTTATTACAACTTACATGTACTTCGACCATAAATATGTTTTATATAGAGAAAACAACAAACACAATCAACCTTTTTCAAATAAAAAAATGTGAAAAAATCTTATAGTAACCACCTATTTCGTAGGTCCAACTGTGAAGTGGGTGAACCAGCTATGAAATGCTTTAAAATGCTATTGTAGTAGGCCCTGTAAAATTAATTTATATAAAATATGACTTATCGGTTTTTTTTTCGTTTTTCATTGAAAATGTACTTTGAAATTTCTAATAAAGGTTCAAGTTTTGTATTAAAGAGATAATGCTTCTTAGTGTGGGAATTGGCCATAATTATGATTCAAAGAAATTATGTGAGCTATTTTGTTGAGTGTTGTTCTACTAAATTGATATATTATTATGTACTCGGTATTTGTCGACTATGTAAGAATATGTCAATTGAATTTTTAGTATATTTATGTTTTATTGTTCATTTTATTAATTCTATTTGGTTCGCCGCCTTACTTTTATTGTAACTATATAATTTATGTTATTTGCTAATATCCAGAGAAATCAGCAATCACTAGACAATATACAATTGAATTGTATTTCATCAATTGGTATTGGAGCTCGTGTGATATGCTAGATGTCTTTATTTTTGTTTTTATGTGTTCTTTAAAACTTTTAAAAATCATTCAATCAAGGTTATCTACCAGTATCTCATGTTGCAATGGCTGACTTAAAACTATTCAAATATGTAATGTATTTCCGAATAGTTTTACATCTGGTTTACGGGTACCAATTCTCACTCGTGGAGAATATAACTCATGTGTGACACATAAGTCAGTCTATCTTGAGGGTGTCAATGAGGATCACTCAAAATATGTTGATGATACTCTTAAAACTCTCATCATCATAGTTAGACTTGTGTCTGTTAACATGCTAATATCCGTGATCTTATTGGTTTTAAAATTATTTACTCGTATCGCTATGCAGTTTACAGTTTTATAAAATATTAAGTTTGGTAGCTTTGTTAAAAATACACTTTACAAATGTCTATGTTAAATGTAAAAGAAATACAAAATCACACTTATATTCATGAAATTGTGAAATTTGAACCATACTAATTAACCCTAACTAGCATTATCAAATGACAGCCAAAAATCAATTTACCCTTCAAAATTCACATTTTGTTTAAAAAAATACACTGATGAATATGACATCCAGGTTCCAAAAAAGTTGGTTTAAACAAGGCAATTACATCGAAATTATCATTTACATAATGTCAGCTAAACCGACAAAATAATTACTATAAAAGTAAAACTGAAAACAACCAAGAAATAAAAATTAAACATAATCAATTTTTTAAAATCAAATTCTAAATTAACAGCTTTGTTTCCTGCTTAGCCCACAAAGAAATAGCAGCCCAACCCACATAACCGAAATCACCCACCTTCTTGTTCCCTTATCAAAATTAACTCACCTTCTCTCAAAATCGATCACCACTCCTTCTCTCTTTTAATCGAAATCGCAGGCTGATTTTCAAGATGATGATGATTGGTGGCTGGTTTAGCTCGAGATGAAGGTGGTTGATGTTTTTTTTAATCGCACAAAAGAAAATTTCAAGGATCAATCAATCTGTTTCCCTTCAATTGCTACGCAGGTAGTCCCTCTTCTTCTCTATCTCGAATTGAGAGTATGATCGATGACAGGGCAGGGGTTAATGATGGGTGTTTAGCGGTGGTGTTGATGGAAGCAGAGAGGAGGCTCGAAGGGGTTGGATGATCGGAGATGGTGGCGGCTTGGTGGTGGTCGGTTGTGATAGTGATGAAGGTTGAAGGAGGATGATGTTGGGTTAATGAAGATGCTTGGGAGATGGTGTTTAAAGGTTCATGGTTCATTATTTGGAAGCTATAAAAAGTTATCACATGAATGATTAATCAATCCTAAAGCAATGATATAGGATTGATTATTTGGTTCAAGGTTTTCATAAGTTTTTATGGTTAATAATCGAAATATGTTGGATAGTTAACTTATATAGTTGCAGTGGACTTATATAGGCACTTCTAGTTTTTAAGTTTTATAAAGTTAAAACAAATAATATTAAGAATGGTGGATGGTTTTAGCCGTTTTTAGAAAATTAAGCCAAAAAAAGAAAAAAAATCAAACACCATATATATGTTGTTTAAAAATCACACCACAACTGTGAGACACCGAAACGCATTCAAAAACCAAAAACCAAACCACATGCAAAACCGAATCATTCGGTTTTTATAAAGAAAAAAACCGAATTTGGGGTTTTGATGTGGTTTTTTTTGTTAAAAATCGCACAACCCCAATCTTGAGAGATAAGAAAATAAATAAAAGAAAGTTAAAGAAAAATCAAACTAAAATCACCATAAATCTTCGTGGAAAAGTCGATTGTAATTATTTTTCTTTCTTGTTTTTTATAAGAAAATTGAAAAGTTAATATGAGGTATCTTTTAATTCCAAGTTGTGGGTTTTTTTTTCTAACTTGAAAACAAGATTATAACTTGTGGATGACATATTTGGGTCAAATTCTTTCTGATAAAAGGAAAACACCACATGCAGCCAAATAAAATTGGTAATTGGGTTCAGATTAGCTTAAAGAGTAAATTATACGAATGGTACCTATGGTTTGGAGTAATTTGTATGTTTGGTCCCTAACTAATTTTTTTAATTCAGAAGGTCCCTACAGTTTGTTTTTGTTACGCGCTTGGTCCCTACTATTTATTTTTGTTACATGTTTGATCCCTATCTTACGTAAAAATACTAATATTTAAATAGGAAAAAATTATGAGGTAGATAAGGTAAGGTGAGGGGTGAGATTGGGGGTGTGTTTATTTAAATAAATCAAAAAATCAAGGGAAAAATAGTCTTTTTAGGTAAGACAGGGACCAAGCGTGTAACAAAAACAAACAGTAGGGATTTTCCGAGTTAAAAAAATAAGTTAAGGAACAAACACGCAAATTACCCTAAACCATAGGGACTATTCGTGTAATTTACTCCTTTCAAGGAGATCAAGTGGACTGTTTAATGGCCCAAGACACCCGTGTTGACCAACCATTTGACCGAATGACATGGCCCAACGAAACTTCTCCAAAGCTAAATTTTGATGATTCATGTTGATGTTGTTGAGACCCAATGGAGTGGGTGCGGGACTACCACACATCTGTCATGGTGGAGCATTGTAACACTGTCCCCATACTCTGGTTTCCAATGCAGTTTGACATTGCGTACGGTATACTTTAGCCGCATGATTTTTTCTCATACTTTGCCTCTTTCCAACTTTTGAACGGTTAAAACTTTTAAATTCGGTTTTTTATTAGGGGTGACAATTGTTGACACGACACGATAAAAATAAACGAAACAAAACGAAATTTAGACGAAACTGAAATTTGAATTCGTGTTCGTGTCGTATTCGTGTTAAGTGTAAAAAACACGATGTCGTGTCGTTTCATGTTTACAATCTGACACGAAATTGACACGATTAGCATTTATTTGTCGTGTTTTTCGTATTTATCGTGTTTTTCGTGTTATATATGATTAAATATTAAGTAAATAAACTAATTTTTTTTATTATGTTATCTTTATCGTGTCGTGTCGTGTTTATCGTTTTTTAATCGGTTCGTTTTCGTGTTAGATAAAAAAACATGATATCATGTCGTGTCGTGTTCGTGTTACATAAAACTTTGTCGTGTCGTGTCGTGTCAGATAAAAACAAGACACGATGACCCGATTTGCCACCCCTACTTTTTATTACCTATAAATAAAACCTCACACCCCTTATTTTACCACACCTTTATCAATTTCTTCTATCTTTCAACTTCTTTTTCAAAACTTTCAAAATGTCTTCTTTCAACAACCCAAGCAATCAAAAAACACTCACTAGAAACACCACAACCCCAAGACCTTTTTATGATCAACTGATTTATTCGTCTTCGGTTTATCACTGTATGCTACCGTATTCTCCACACCAAGTCTCACAAAAATATGCATAAAAATACTCTCAGCCACAACCGCAACCGCAACCGCAAACACTAACACCACCTCAAAATGATCCTGAGTTTAATCTGTTTGATTTGTTGACTGTTAACACGTTGTTGCGTGCGTATTAAACAAATAAAAAATATCACTGTTGGTTGCACTATAAGTATAATACAGTGGGCACAACCTAATGGTCAATGACTTTTTGCATCAGACACATCTAGTTAAAAATCAGAATATAAAAGGGGAGGGGGGGGGGGGGTTAAATTAAACTGAAAACTAAAAATGCAGTGATATTAAAATTAAACGAAAATCAATATTAAAAATGATTTTAGTTCTACTGCGACTTTCCTAATCATACAACTATCCCAAATCTGATTATTTGAGATGCGCTCTATCTAAAGTGGTACTAAGAATAACTAACAAGCTCTACTATAATCTCTTTTATCTAAACTAGTTAATCAAAACAAATTCTTTGAATTAACCATAACTTTTTACTGTTCAATTAAAAAAGCTCTTAATTAAATCAGAAAAATTGCATTAAGTTCTTTGTAAAATTCCCAACAATATCCAATACTTTTCACAAGCTCGGAAGCGTAAAGATATGACTTTTCAGTTTATACCAGAGTTAAATCCCAAAACGGAACCAATCTGATACTTGTTACTTTTACCAGTTGATAAAACAATTACGGATTCTATTAACTGATTAACTGGAATGATACAACCCTAGATAGGTGATCAAACTAACAATTTAAAACCAAACATTCATTAAGAACAAAAATGAAGAATCCAGATAGAAACACAAATCAAAAACCAGAAAAGTACTTGTGTTTGCAGAACTAAAAACAAAGGTTTTAGCCAGACATGGCTAAAATCTGATAAAAACGGATGAAAAGAAAAATAAAAAACAACTAATCTTACTAATCTACTTGAACGAGATGATCTACAGTCTTCAGATCTTCAGAAATCGTTGAAATCGGAGAATAAACGCCTCCAAAATCATATTTTCGTTGTTTG